CAGCGGGAGGGAGGAAGGAGCCCGGGGCAGGGCGCTTCTGGGGGCCGGGGGGGGACGGGCCACAGGGGGGAGAATCCTCACCCCCCCTCGTCCACCGTGCCGGGGCGCTAGAGGCCCCGGCGCTCAGGGCCCCGGGCTGGGACCCGGAGAGAGGGTGGGACCGGGTTCCTCTCCCTCCACACGGGGAGCATCCAGCATCCGAAGGCCACCCTCGACAGAAGAGAACAAACTAGAACCCCGGACTGGGGAGAGCTTAAACTGGGGGCATCGGCCCCACCCTGCACGGCGGGTACTCACTGCCAGGGTTCGCTGACCCCCCCTTCCAGCCGGGAGGGGGTGAGCGCACCCAAGGGGCCTGGGCCCCATATCAGGGATCCGGGAACAACAAGGGACAAAAGGAGGACAAAGGGGTCCGCAGACCCCCCTCTCAGACCAAGAGGGGGTGATCGCACCCCAAACCCTCACACACCCCTATGCCCTCCCCTTCCCAGAGACCCCAGAAGACAATCCCCTCCTTCAGACTGTGCTGCAGGCAGTGCATTCAGCTCTCTCTAGGACCCAGACCTGTTGTTACATGCTCCACTGCAGTGTTTCCCAATTTTATTTGACCATGGAACCCTTTTCATCTTTTCAGAATTTCAAGTTTTCAAAAAAAAAAAAAAAAAAAGGACCCCACCAATACATTAAAATCACATTCCTTCCCCAACTCCCAAGACCCCACCCTTTTGAGGCCCCATCATCTCTGTTCCCCTCCTCTTCATCACTTGCTACCCCCAGCCATTATATGCTCTCACTTGGTTGAGAGAGGAGGTACGGGCTCTGGGGTGGAAATTAGGGATTTGGGTGTGGGAAGGGGTGAGAAGTGCAAGTTCTGGGAGGGAATTTGGATGCAGGAGAAGGGGATGCTGCCTCGGGGAGGAGGCTTCAGGCTGCGGAGTGTTGGGCTCAGGTGGAAGGTTGGGGTGCTGAGCAAGTCACAGGCTTGTGGATGTGAGGGTGCAGCAGTTTTTGTTGGATATGTGAGTGGCTCAGGGCAAGGAGGTTGTTAGTATGATGGGCTCAGGACACACATTTGCCATGTGGAACGGTACTGGAATGTTGTGGCAGAAGACTGAGGATGTGGTGATGCAGGAGTTTGGGGATGTAAGAGGCTCAGGACAGGGGGTTCCAGTGTATGATAGGCTCAGATTTGGGGACAGGTGGTGCAAGAGTGTTATGATGCTGCAGTGAAATGGGGATTTGGCCCCAAATGGGGGCATGTTGGCCTGGCTTCATTTTTAAATAAAATATTATGTTAAACTAAAAAGCATTGTCTTTATATATGAGAGGGGCAGGGAACCTGTTTTGAGTAGAGGGTGACTGACCCACAGAAAAGTCAGTTGGGGCCACACAAGTGAGATGCCAAAAAAAAAAAAAAACCACACAACAAAAAACCCAAGCCTCTCCAATGTGTCCAATGTGGTCCCAAGGATTCTGGCACAGCTGGCAAGGTGCTGGAGCCAGGGACAGGGTGGAGCTGGGTGCTGCGGTGGATGGCAGGATTCTGGGTCCAGGGACAGGGTGGTGCTGGGTGCTACGGTGGTTGGCAGGGTGCTGAGGATGGGGCGCTGGTGGGAGTGACAGTGTTGGTGGGGGTAGGGGACAGGATCCTTATGGGGGGTCTGGGCAGGGGACAGGGGAAGCTGGGAACAGTACCTGGCAATCCTGCAGCCCCTCTGGGAAGTGTGCGACTGCACTCCCCCTCCCCAAACAGCTGGCGTGTGCACTGCCTGAGCAGCAGGGGCTGTTGCACCCCAGAAATTTACCTCTGTGATGCTGTCCTGCGAGGGGTGTGTGTGCGAGGAGTCCAAGGGCAGAGCATGCTGCCTGCACAGTTGAACCTGTGCAGACCCGGGTCTCCTGACCTCCCCACACCACGCAGAAAGGCCCCAGAAGTAAGTTGCTGGTGTCACAGCCCAAGCTGTTCAGGCAGCGTGCACCGGCTCCTGTGAGGAGGGGAAGTGCTTCCCTCCCCGCTGTGGGTCACGTGGAGTCACTCCTGTCCAGCACCCCTTGGTGTTCCAGCAGGGGCGGCCCATGAGCCTAGACGAGCTAGGCAGCTGCCCGGGCACCCAAAGATGATGTCTCGGGGCACCGGGGCACCCCATGATGACGTCACAGCCATTGACAGCCGTGCAGGCAGGGGCACCGATTGGGCCGCTTCTGTGAGCCAGCCAGGAGCAACTGTTCCCTCTGCCCCTGCCTCCCTATGCCTCTGCGTCGCCTGGGAGGATCCATATCAATGTGGTTGTTAAACTCCTGAATTTTGAGTTTAACAGAATGAGCAAAACAAGCATAGTTTTCCATTGTTTAAAGTTATTGATAGTTTCATTATGTGTCTATGTATGGATAATTATATAGAAGATAACACAAGGGAAACTGTGAGCTACAAAAATATATAGTGCAAACTAAACCCACCGATGACACCAAAGTTATTATTTGACTGAATCTTTTAAATGACTTCAGCTGGTTTTGAACTAGGCTTTCTGAGAGCAAAGATGTGTATCTTTATTCACAAATTTTCTATGTTGGAGTCAGTATATATGTTGATTTTCCTAAGATTCTAACAAGAAAAAAGTGTTTATCAGCATAAGTTTACACAAAATACCATGCTGGGTTTCAATGGGGTGATAATTCTATTTGTTAAAGGAAAATCAGTTTTAAAAAGCATGAAATAAAAATTTTAAAATTGGATTTAACTGACTGTTATTATGAACATTGGAATGATGAAGGATGAATGGGATGAGTTGTGAATGTGACATCAAAGATATACCAATACTCATGCATTTGCCTTACTTCATGTACCTACTATAATCCCATTAGATAAATGCAACTGTCTTATGATTTTCTCATATAACAAAAAATAAAGTTAAAATAAAAAATAAAAACAAAGCTAGTGTATGAAATCTTAGCCATGAAATATAATCCCCCAATTGAAAACATTCACCATAGATTTTTTTGTGTGTGTGCCAGTTGATAGTGGAATATTAGCCCCTACCGTTAAAAATGCATACCAAATTCTCATCCCCCTACATCCACACACAGTACACATCAGCATTAAAATCTGGATGGATATTAAATATTCCACCCCCAAGTTCTGTCAAACAAAACAAAACAAACACAAAAACCTGCTATAGGTTCAGGACCAACTGGCTAAGCAGCAGTTAAGCAGAAAATGACCTGGGGATTACAGTGGATGAGAAGCTGGATGAGCCAACAGTGTGCTCTTGTAGCCAAAAAGGCCAATGGTGCATTAGGGTACATTAGTCGGAGCATTGCCAGCATATCTAGGGAAGTGATTATTCTTCATTTGGCATTGGTGAGGTCTCATCTGGAATACTATATCCAATTCTGAGCTCTCCATTACAGAGGGAGGAGGGATTTGATAGCAGCTTTCAAATACTTGAAGGGGGTTCCAAAGAGGATGGAGAGAGGCTCTTGTCAGTAGTGACGGATGACAGAACAAGGATCAATGGTCTCTAGTTACAATGGGGGAGGTCTAGGTTGGATATTAGGAAAAACTATTTCACTGGGGACATGTCTATACTGCACAGTTATTTTGGAATAAATTATTCTGGAATAGTTATTACAAAATAGATTATTTCAAAATAGCACGTTTACATTGCAGTGAAGCCTCAAAATTATTGTAGACATGATATCTTGATTTAAATTCCCAGAAGGAATAACTTACAATGAGGGGCTATTTCAAAATAGGAGAAGTGGAACATCTACACATGCCTTATTTCAAAATAGCTATTTCAGAATAGGTTTTATTTTTTATAGAATGAGGTTTACAGAAGTTGGAATAGGCTGTCTGTTATTTTGAAATTATTTTGAAATAATGGAATTGCTGTGTAAATGCTCACAAAGTTATCTCAGAATAACGGCTGTTATTCCAAGATAACTTTGCTGTGTAGACACACTCTAGGAGAGTTACTTAGGGTGGTAGTTGAATCTCTGTCTTTAAGTCTTAGCTTGACAGAGCCCTGTCTGGGATGATTTAGTTGGGATTGATCCTGCAGGGGGTTGAAGTCAATGACCTTCCAACCCTATGATTCTATGTTTTTTGCCATTTTGTGCCCCAAAATTTTATTTTATGTGACATTTTACCATAACTGCTACTTTGCATAATGGCCTCATTTTCATTACACGGAAAGAACATATGCACCTGAAAAAAACATGAATCTTAGCAACTTTTCCTTCAAAATGGGCCCATTTTCATATTCATAACTCACTGCACAAAAAAAGACCCCGTAATTTCAAGTCATTTTGCGCATAATATTTTCGACACTTGTAGCTGATAACATGCAAAATCAGCAATCTTCAATAGATTTCTTAAAAAGGAAAACCCACATCTCAATACTTCAGTTTCTCTGAAAGGTTTATGGTTCAAGTTTGGGGTTTGTTACCTAGGTTTCATATAGCTCTGTCCAACACATGAGCTTATAGCCATCATTTTGGATTTGCTCTTTTAAGGTCTCTAAGGAACATGTAAAATCATTGTGGTTTATTTTGAAGCCTTCTTACCTTCATTTTAAATGAAAATACATCTCTGATCTTAGCCTATTCTGAGTATGTACTGTTAAAATAACTTTCTAACAATCAGTTTCAGTAAAGGGCAACATGCATTGCTGAGATAGCTTAGTTTAATGTGTTGCAGAGCTAACATATGCTGCTAGTAATCCTACTTAAAATGTTCTACATAAGAAATGATATTTTAAAGCTCTGTTTGGAAGAAGAGAATTGACTCTAGTTGCTATGAATGGCTAAAACATAGCCCCCATTTCAATTTACCTTATTGATATCCATTCGCAACTTCTCATTGTTGGCACTGGCAGCTTTTTCTGCTGCTTTCTTTTGTCGTTGAGGTCCCCTGCCAAAGAAGATGTAGTTGACCAATGCATATTCCAGCAGGGCCATAAAAACAAAGACAAAGCATCCCATCAAATACATGTCAATGGCTTTTACATAGGGAATTTTGGGAAGAGTCTCTCGTAGATGGGTGTTGATGGTTGTCATGGTAAGAACAGTTGTGATTCCTGGCAAAAGAAAGACAGTTCCATTGATTACATTCATGTTAATCATCTATAATTATAGCTCAATCTTTAAATGTCAGCACTGCAGGGAAGTTAGGAAGGTTTTTTGTTCTTTGATTAAAAACATGGTGTTAGTGCAACTTATTACAGTTGCAATTGTCTCAAATCAAATACAGAGTAATCTTAACTCATAGAAATAACATGCTTTTTTAATGGTAATTGTAGACTAGCTACTTGATTTATCAGCTGCCAGCATAGACACAAGACCTCTTACCCTACTGATATCCTCTAAAATGTTCTTGCTCTCGACCTTTACACCTGAATTCCTGGGAAGAAATCCTGGCCCCACTGAAGTCAATGGCAAAATTCCCATTGAATTCAATGATATCTTGATTTGTGGTAATTTTTGGCAGGTATCACTCAGATTTATATTGGCAACGTGTGCTCAGATACCATGAAGAAGTTTATAATATAAACAGGCCCTCGAAGGATAGTTGATGAAATACATTAATATAAAGAGCAGCGTTCTTAGCATTAGTAAGGAGAATTGTTTTCCTTAGGGTAACACTATGGAGAGGAATCTCTCCACTTGCCTAGGGAGAGGTTAGTCATATGCCACAAATGTATCTATTTCATACCCAAAAGGAAAACCAATGGATATTCCATACTACAGTACTGTAGGTTTGCTTTGGACTGCTATGAGCCAAAACAAAGAAAACAAGTACTATTTTTAAACTAACAACAAGTGCAATAAAAAACTGACTGTGACAACCAGGCTAATTCCAATTACAATGATTATATAGTTAGCTAATTCAGACATGAAATCACTTTCAATTTTTATTTAAATTGTGATGATTTAAATGCTGAATCGGATAATACAAAGCTTAACAAGCTAGGAAATTAAATCCAACAGAGATATTTTTCCAAATCATGCATTATACGTTACATCAGAAGCGAGAAAAAATTATACTAATACACAATGCATGAGAGGAGTAAAAATGCCTACCTAAAGCAACTCTTGCAGCTGAAGCATCATAATTAATCCAAAATGAAACCCAGGAGAGGATAGTGATCAGAATAGAAGGCATGTAGGTCTGCAGAATGAAATAGCCAATGTTTCTCTTAAGTTTAAAGCTGAGTGACAGCCTTGGGTAGGCACCTAAAAAGGGAATATTTAGGCATGGCATTTATTTTGTATACCCTTCAAACTCTTTGCATCATTTCAGTTTTACATTCCATTTATGGTTACAGATTTAGTGTATATACACACAATTGTCTTCGCTTTTGGACAAACAACTACATATTTTATAATGAAGTCTGATTTCTTCAATAGTAGTTTGTACTAAAGGTCTTGAATCAATATTACATAGATTCACAGCTGCTGACAGTTAAAATCTCCTGTCAAAGTACATTTCTAAGGCTTCACTCTTTGGTGGCTACAGAATGCCATGCTAGGTGTGAAACAATCTTCCCAGCTTGAACTGCCATGTATGCTAAAGAATAGTGCAGGCATGCTACTCAGCAAAAGTGGTAGTGATTCTAGTGCACAAGGCCCTCACCAGCTCATGCACACTAAAATCCCACTAATTTGAAGACTTCAGCGCAAACATTCTTGTATAAGTCCCTCCCACAGGGCTGGAACATCACCCAGAATGAGCAAGTGAATGGGATTTCAATTTGGTGAAAGACAGCCAGCAGCTGTTTCAGTTACTCTGGAAACAACAGTCACATAGGGTATGTCTACACTACCACCCTAGTTCGAACTAGGGTGGTTAATGTAGTCAATCAAAGTTGTAAATGAAGCCCGGGATTTAAATATCCCGGGCTTCATTTGCATCTTGCCGGGCGCCGCCATTTTTAAATCCCCAGTAGTTCGGACTCCGTGCCCGCGGCTACACGCGGCACGGAGTAGGTAATTCGAATTAGGCTAATTCGAACTACCAGTACACCTCGTTCCATGAGGAGTAACGGTAGTTCGAATTAGAAAGCCTAATTCGAACTACCTACTCCGTGCCACGTGTAGCAGCGGGCACGGAGTCCGAACTACCGGGGATTAAAAAATGGCGGCGCCCGGCAAGATGCAAATGAAGCCCGGGATATTTAAATCCCGGGCTTCATTTACAACTTTGATTGACTACATTAACCACCCTAGTTCGAACTAGGGTGGTAGTGTAGACATACCCATAAAGAGTATGATTCTGTTGCCTCTCATTGGTATCACTACTGTCTTAAATGCAGTTACTTCTGATTTACACCAACATAAGAGCAGATCTAGGTGCTGTGTTCCAAATGGATCAAACACCTACAATTTAAGTCCCTCAAATAATAAAGAAAGACACCTCCTTGGAGAGAAGTTAAGCCACAAAAGAATCAAAGTGATCAAAACGGCAGATAGGAGACCAAATAATATTGATATTGTTTTAATTTCAATAGCTCCAGATGGATTTACGCTCAGTCCTTTTAGGCAAGGAACACATCTCTCTTGACAGAGTCCAGCGTCTTGAAGGTGAACTTACAAAAAGGAAAAAAATGCTTATCCACAAGAGCACTAAGAGCTGTAAGAACCCTCCTCATCTGTAGAAAATATTAACAATCTTTTTTAAAATGATGCTAGTTTTGCTTCCTTATTTGGGCTACATAGTGCTTTCCCTGCCCTGATGAAAATAATTTCATTGTCGCCAAAGAGAGAATTACAAAATCCTGTTGAATCAGGATTAGAAGCTCGTGCAGCAGAAGATAAACTGATTTGTGTACATCCTTCATAGTTTGGCTCCATAAACCAAAATACAGAGAAAAGTGTTAGAAGGGTTTTCCTGTGGGCTAAGTTATATCTTAGCTAGCCAATTTCTTCATCTTTCATGGTCTAACTTACTACAGAATACAGGCAATATAGTTTACTGGAGCAAGCCAAAATACAAAAGATTAATGGTTCTTAATTAGAATGAAAGTTCATAAGAGCCAAATACACAGAAATTCTCTGTGATGTTGTACATATTACACTGTGAACATTTCATCAGGATAGCTCATTTATAAATTCAAAATTGTTTCTCTAGCAGATTCTATCAAATTTTCATTCAGATCAAGGACAGCATCCTTGCAACTAATCTATTTCTAAAATTATTTTCAGGGAACAAATACAAGTTTCCTTTAACTCCCCTTCTACAAACCTGTTGAGAAAACAACATTCTTGGTGATGAGCTTGTAGTCTACAATGGAGAATTGTGGCAGTTCAATCTTTGTCACTCCTGTGACTGCATTATCACCCCCACGCCAGTAAAATTCAATATCATCTGTTGTATAGCCATCTATGAAACAGGAATAAAGGGTTATGACAAATAGCAACTCTGATATCATGCAAGATTGCAAAGAACAGTTCAGTACATTCATTCATGAACTTGGAGTAATTTTAACTGTATGTCCTAAAATAAAAATATGCATGTCATAGATGTATAGACATAGTCACAATACACAGCCTAGTAACACATATGATTATTTCAAATGGCAATTTAAATATGTGTGTATTCAGTCAGATTACTTTAATAAAATAAACAGAAAAAGGAAATTAGAAAACAAGTACAGGATGAACCTCTCTAGTCTGGAATCCTTGGGACCTGACTGGTGCCAAACCAGAGAATCTGCAGAACCATGCAAGACATCAGATTTGTCTTGCAGCATTACCAACATGTCCACTGCTTACTGGATTCTTAGAAGACATTTAGGGGTAAATTAGAGCTAAAGAATTGCAAGAACACTGAGATCCAGGACTAGTGGCTATAAACAAACTTTATGGAAACTTGGCCACACACATGATTAGAGGACATCTAACTTAAATCATGCTGGACCACAGCTGTTGCAAGACCGGAAAAAATAGACACCATTATTGTAGACATCATAAGAAATGTGTGAGCTCCCCTACTTTTGGCTGTACAGCAGAATATAAGTTACCCCTAAAGCTGTGCACGTGACTTGTCTGCCATCTTGGCCATCACAAGGATTGACTAGGGATCCCCAGAACTGAAACTCAACAGCATAGTTGAAAAAGGTAGTCTTTGTGGCTCCTGGGCACAGAGGATGGCATATAACACACACTGACAGAAAGAGTATATAAATACTAACAATAATGAAGAAAGTGTATAAGCAAGTAAATAAACCTGACAAAATAGCTTACAATGTACTAAACCATAGGCAAATAAATGTTTGTAACTATAAAGGATAATTGTGAGAAGGACGGAAATTTTAACTATAGTCTTCAGGTTAACTGCATACAGGGCTGGATTACCCAATAGGCAGACTAAACACATGCTTAAGGCACCAGCAAAGCAGGGGCACAAAAAAAAAAAAAAAAAAAAAAAAAGAGATTTTATGGTATAGTATTGTTTTTATTTTGAATTCTATATGGGAGGGCACCATAATCTTTTCAGTGCCTAGGGCCTCTAAAGGTCTTAATCATGGAATGAGGTTTACCGGGGCTGCCGACAAAGGGCTTTGATGTCGACAGGGGGAATGTACAGACTAGCGCGTGAGCCAACAAACAGCTGATCAGCTGTTTGTCGGCTCAGCGCGGCACCCATGTAAATGTAAATGAAGCCGCGATCATTTAAATTGCGGCTTCATTTGCCTTTGCTGAACAAACAAATCTACATGCCAACAGAGGCATGTAGTTTAGATGTACCCTGGAAGATTTGCCCCAGGTGGTCCCCTTAAGGATTGAACTCACAACCCTGGGTTTAGCAGGTCAATGCTATCCCTCCGTCCCCTTAGATTTAATGGGGACTTCAATCACCCTAACATATGCTGGAAGTGATATGCCCACTGCAACCATAGAGAGGTGCTTCTCATCTGGCCCTAAACTGTTGCGGTGAGTAAGGGCTGGGTTTGCCCTTTGTCGCTGGGGAAGCCTGCATGCTGAATCCCTCATCCACAGCCCATCCCAGAACAATGATTTAAATGAAGAAAAAGAAAAAAAATCATTTCAGTTAAGGATCCAAGCAACACCAGGTAAATATTCTAGTAATAACAATTGGTGTGGTGAAAAGTAAATCAGAACACATGAAAACTTTTGCCTGATATAAGTGGGATATTGTCTCTCACTTCAGCTCCATCAACTAATTACCCTGCAGGACTGTGCCCCAATATATAGGTCCAAACTTCTGCATGTTATAAAATCTTGCTTTACTAAGTGTGGCGGGGAGGGTCTCATGCTTTGTTAAAGTACGGCAGAATGTGATTTCAAATGATGTGTTATGTTTTACTCATAGTATTCACATATCTAGCCTGCATTCTGTGTAACTCCTTTAGTTTTACTCCCTTTTGAAAACTACACACATAACAGTTTGTTAGTTAAAGTCATCCATAAAAACACAAATAAAGCTTCCTATTTAATATGGTCGAGTATCACTCTAGGGTGTCCTATTGCAACTTACTGCAGACCTGCAGGCACCCTGCCCTCAATCTCTCAGTTTTTTGTTTTGCCTCACATTGTAATGGGGTAGAGCACCTGAATGATTTCCCCATGTGCTGTCTTACCCATCCCCCCAAAAGAACACAGATTATGAGGCCCTCCAGCCATACTCTTCCTTCAGGAGGCCCTCAGCCTTTTAACTTGGGGTCTGTGTACCTTCAGTCTCCACCATGTGCAAGAGTCTGTCCATGCTGTTCCCAGGTGGGAACCCCCATCAGCAAATGCTAAGGAATTCAGATACATCAGGGCATTTAGAGATGCCTTGCTATAACATTCCTTAATCATAGCCATAATTAAAAGCTTGACATAGCAGTCAATGATTGAATAGATTGTGAGCAATTGCTATAGACAAAAAAAAAAAAAAAAAAAAAAAAGGTCAGAAAATGGAAGAAAAAGTGCACATCTTTGTGAAATTTAGTTTTTTTCCCCTCAAACATTGACCAATTTTCATTGCTAAAGGCCACTGGTAAAGGACCCAATGATTCTCCACTAGGATGGGTAAGGATACATAGTTTAAGTTGCAGGACATTCTCCACAAAACATCCGGATCCTCCATAAGTGACATGGGCATGAGTTGAGTTGAAGCAGAGAGAACCCAAACATTGATCACTCATTTATCACAAGACATGCTTTTTCTCCTTTGTTTCACTGAGGGTGCTTCTACACAGCATCTTAAACTAGAAATAAGACAAGCAATTTGTGCTAAGCAAATTGTGTATCTTATTTCATTTGAATTTCAAAATAGCCTATTTTGAAATTTGGTACCTCTACACAGCACCACATTTTGAAATAATGCACTATTTCGAGACATCCCTTACCCCTCATGGAACGAGGGTTACCAGGATGCCAAAATAACATGCCTGCTATTTTGAAAAATATTTTGAAATAATGGGTGGCTTGTTAAGATGCAGGGTAGCTATTTTGGGATACCTTTGGTATCCCAAAATATCTGGAGAGTGTAGACGTACCCTTATAGATTTTTTCTCCTGTCACCTCTAGGTTTGCCAGAAGAGCCAAGTGTATTTTGGATGGACAACTTTTATACCAAATGTATTTTCCCTTTCTCTGACTGTGAACTAGGCAGTGCCATCAATAGGATTCAAGATGGCAAAGTACAGAACTACCAAGCATCCATAATGAATTTTTGTAGAACTGAATGCTCCCAAAAGGTCATGGTTTTGGTACTTATAAATGCAGTAGATATCTTTTTTGTCTAAAATAGGTCAAGTCTGGGAAAAAGCCAAGGCCACTGCAACCTGTTTACAGAGAGTATGTCTACACAGCAAAGTTATTCAAAATAACAACCCTTATTTCAAAATAATTTTCCTAGCATTTACACAGCCAAACCGCTATTTTGAAATAAATTTGAAATAGCGGAGTGCTTTTTTCGAATTTGGTAAACCTCATTCCATGAGGAATAACACCCAATTCGAAATGGCTATTTCAAAATAAGTGCTGTATAGAAACTTATTTCAAAATAGGGGGCCTCCAGCCTTCCCAGGGCGCCCTGGTGGCCACTCCAGCCACAATTAAGAACAATTCTCTTTCCCACCACCCCCCGGAGCCCTTAAAGGGGTAGACTCTGGCCACAGTCCCTGTGCCAGCTCCAAGCCAGCCAGCCCAGAGCCAGCAGTCACTGCCCTGACCCAGTAGCCCCAAACATGAGGCAGCAAGCCACTGACAGCCAGCCCTCCACTGCTCCCCAGTAGAAGTCTGCCAACTCCCAGGAGCCTGCCAGGATAGCTGCCAGCCTGGCCACCAAAGGCACATGCAAACCCAAGAGCAGGTTTGCATGACAATCAATTTGGTATGGCAAGACCCCCCCAACCCTGAGCCCTGAGCTTCCCCTCTCCCTTCTTCCCTTTGCTTCCCCCTTCCAGCTTCCTCCTCCCAGGTTTTCCCCTCCCCTCTCCTACCCTCTCTCCTCTCCTCTCCCACCTCCTTTCCCCAGTCTCCTCCCCCCCAGTTTTGTTAACTAAAGAGAGTTTATGTTCATGAAAATGTGTGTATTTTATTTGACAACAGGAAGGGGGATTAGGGAGGGATAAGTGGAAGGACATGAGGGAGGAATGAGGCACAAGTCCCCAGTGGGGCAGACCAGGGAGGCTCTTAGTGCTCCTCAGGGTGGAAGCTCTCCCGCAGGGCCTCCTGGATACTGACTGGCCCCGATGGCCCTCCTGGATGCCAGCCTGCAGAAAGTGCAGCCAGGCTTACAGCAACACATCCAAGAGAAGCACCAGACTACCCAGGGGCAGCTCTGGCTCCATATTGTAGAGTGCTATGGTGTCCCGAGTGAGGGCAACCAGAGCACGCAGAGACAAAATGCTTTGCTGTCCCTCATCGAGGTAAACAAGCAAGCAGGGAAACCTGAGAACTGGCTGTCTGGGAAGGGGCAGGTGTCCCTTTAAGCATAGACCTCAGATAGCCTCAGGCAGCAGTCTCACACAATAAGTCCTGACCTGGTGCCCTGCTGGAACTGGTTCCGGCCAGCCTTAAATGCGATTCAGAGTCCACTCTGTGTGCGCACTATTTCGAAATAGCAAAATGCTATTTTGAAATGCATTTTTTGTGTAGATGCATTATTTCGAAATAAGCTATTCTGTAGTGTAGACATATCCAGAAGCTTGATCAGGTAAAGTCCAGGAAGCATCAAGCATCATTGTAGTTCAGACTGGATTGAAATTGTTCTATTATAATGGCTAGATTATTTAAAAAGCCAAATTACACACTTACTCCAGAGATGGGAATCATTTTGTCTTGCAGGGAAAATAATGCATTTCACACCTTAATTATGCTTTCCTAAAAACTGTCTTCATACACAAGAAGCTCCCTCTCATTCCTCATTTCTTCATTTAACCCCATTTTATTTTCCCCACAACCTGAAAGTATCTAAAAGTAGATATGGGACAATGTGAAATACTTTAAGGCTGTCTCTACACTGGCAAGGTTTTTTCGGAAAATCATCTAATTTTCTGGGAAAACTTGCCAACTGTCTACACTGGCCGCTTGAATTTCTGGAAAAGCACTGACGATCTAATGTAAAATCATCAGTGCTTTTCTGGAAAAATTATGCTGCTCCCGTTCGGGCAAAAGTCTTTTTATGAAAGACTTTTGCCCAAAAGGGCCAGTGTAGACAGCACAGTAGTGTTTTCCGCAAAAAAGCCCCGATCGCTAAAATGCTTTTTTGCGGAAAAAGTGAGTCTAGATTGGCCATGGATGCTTTTCCGCAAAAAGTGCTTTTGCGGAAAAGCATCCTGCCAATCTAGACACGCTTTTCCGAAAATGCTTTTAATGGAAAACTTTTCCATTAAAAGCATTTTCGGAAAATCATGCCAGTGTAGACGTAGCCTAAATGTTTCTTTCCAACAGAAATGGACTGAAATTCATGGGCTCCATTAACTGCTGAGCATGTTTAAGAACACACATGCATTTTTCACTTTACCACATCTGGTTCTGTAATTGATATCACTGTACTCTCTGTATTAATTGACTAAATTTTATGTATGAAATGCATCTGATTACCTTTTCAAAGATTTTCCACTTCACAATGTGCAGCCTCTCTCCCTTCCCCCTCTCCCCCTCCCCCTCCCTCGCTCTCTCTCACACACACACACACACACTCACAAAATATATGTTTTCTTTCAACAATTCTCTATATATTTATCCTGAACAAAAGTCCTTTATTCTGTTTACTCAGGTCTCTGATCATAGTTGAAGCACTAAAAGGGTTTTAACCAAAAAGGCCTGGAGGTTATGCAATTCTGAAATAGACCAGATAATCACAATGCCCTTTTCGTTCCCCATTCCTGGTTTCTTTTCAAGGAGAGAGGTGAACATTTTAACATTTCATCTCTACTCTCATCTATATTAGAGCATTAGAATCTAAATTTCTGTTTTCAAAGGTAAAAAATAAAAATCCAGCAGCAAACAAACAAGCCACAGATCAGTAAAGAGACGCAGTTGTATTCAATGAAAAAAAATTTAAAAGTATCCATTGAGAGATTATGAAAAAGCGTTCTACATGATTTATTGTGTACTTTACTTTTATTTATAAGAAAATCGCTAGAAAAGCAGCTACTGCTCACACCATATTCCAAATTCAAATTTATTTAATTTCAACATTAAACTCAGGATTCTGGACTATTTTCTTGAACCCTGTAGGATGAATCAACCCCATGTTTTGATGTCATAATTAATTACTGAACTTTGGAACTAAAACCAGAATAGGAAAAGAAAGCAAACAAAAAATAAATTAACAAAACAAGTATATTAGTGTATATTAACTGCATGTTGTGTACATATTAAAACATTTCATTTGGGAAAATCGATTGAAGACAATGTTTTAAAAATCTTAACCCAAAATTTTATGAAAATTTTTACTAGTCTTTTTAAATATCCATTAGGAGAGATTTTAAACTATACTTTCCTCATTCAAACTTAGTATCAAATAACTGTTGATTTCTCTGCCAACATTTTTTAAACATTCCAACTCTCCCTTTAGTTGCTTCATGAAAGAATCAGTTGAATAATCCTTGTGTTCTCAATGGGAGTCGCAAGATGAGCTTCTGGAAATCTGGCTTCTTTATTTACGTACCTTGAAGGGAGCTGAGCTCTTTTGAAAATCTTGCCACAAAAATCTAAGCAAAAGTTTTCAAAACATTCACTTTTGCTATGGTGCAACTTTGCACAACCCTCTGCTTGTTAAGGCACTAGAGAACATTTATCCTACAGAGAAGTTAAAATGGGTCTTTGATGGTGAATGAAAAAGTTGTTAATAATAATCAGTAATAGACAAAACAATTTTAGAAAATGACTACAAGCACTCAGAAACACTTCTTTCTCTGGTCTATGTGGAATGAATTGCCCAATTGGTTTCATTGTGTGAAGGAGGAGAAAGGAATATTATGGGGGAGAAATTGCCAATGATTGCCATTATCTACTGCTAAAATACCTACAGATAATCTGAAACTAACTTAATATATAGAAAACATCAGCCAGTAAATGTATAGATGCATTCATTTTCCCAGCAGATATATTGCCAGTAATAGTTATAGGTCCAATTACCTGTGAACATAATATACAATGTCAGTAGGTATATATGCTTCAAGATATCTCTATAAGCTAGACAAACGTTATAATGTTCAGCCAATTTTAAAGAGTAAGAGCATCCAGGAAAAAAAATCAACTTATAATAATGATAAAGTGATCATAACATGAATGAGTAATACATCAATATTTCTAAATTTTCAGAACACTTACGGATTCTGAACACTTGTGGACACCAAATATGAAAAGCATATTGAGACTAATATTTCATCATTCATTTTGTACAAGAAGATTCCTAGCAGAAGGCATTGTCTATTTGATTTAAAATGTAACATTACTGTAAAAGTTATTGTTCTACTGTATATTAGACTAAGTGTATTACCAAGAGTGATTGATTGCCTCCTCCCCCAAAAAATAATTTATATATCATCAGAAGCACGATTCACTTAACATTTAGAAAGCCTTGTTTCTTGTTCCTGTCATTTGTCACACATCAGCAACTAAATCAATATATTATTCCCCACAAATATGGGGCCTGATTCTAAGAAGAGCTAAGAGCCCTTAACTCTCACTAACTTGGAGAGCCATTTATGAAGGCTTAAGACCTCACAGAAAAAAAGACAATGACTATAGAATATTTTAAAAAAAAGATAGATAAAGATAAATTTACTTTTTATACAGTTTAACATGAGTTGAAACATTTAGGACTCCAGTTAAAATATAAAAACACTATTGATAAAGACTGAATTTTTTTTGCATTTTAAATTAAAGATGTAGTGGAGAGCCATTTATGAAGGCTTAAGACCTCACAGAAAAAAAGACAATGACTATAGAATATTTTAAAAAAAAGATAGATAAAGATAAATTTACTTTTTATACAGTTTAACATGAGTTGAAACATTTAGGACTCCAGTTAAAATATAAAAACACTATTGATAAAGACTGAATTTTTTTTGCATTTTAAATTAAAGATGTAG